AACCAGAGAGTAAACAAATACTAACAGGATCCCGATCGCATTACAACAAAAAAGGAGCATGCAGAAAAATGTGTCAAATGCAACGATCTAGAATATAGTATATTCTAGCTCGTTGGGCAAATGTAGCGAGAAGTTCAAGTCAGAGGATGAAGCCGTTGGCCGCGAAGGAGGCAGTCTAAAGTGGTTTCACAAAAACACAAGTGGGGGTAACGAAAGGAGAATTCGACATCCTAAAGAGAAGCGCGTGCAGTCACATGGTTCTTCCAGTCATGCAAAGGCTGGGTGTCAACCACAGACGAACTCGAGAAACACAGGGACGAAATGTCAAGTAACAAAGAGCAAATATCGAAGAAAATTGAGACCTTCAGAGTAATTCGTAGAGAAAATCAAGGAACTGAAGGATCAAGTAACTAGACCTCACAAGAATACATAATTGTCAATCGATTCACTTCAAAACCACCTCGTGATAAAAGAGACCCCACAAAACTGAGAACCGAAGAAAAGAAATACAGGGATACAGAGGAGGAATGGAAAGTAATGGTGTTCTGACTATTTTCGATGGATCGGAGGAAAGACACAGAATTTAGGTGATAGTGGTTTTTTGAAGAAGAACCTACTGTATATGGTACAAAAATAATCGAGAAACTAAAATGTGCCATGTTCAAAAGAGGGTTGGGAGTAGATTAAGAAAATTAAAGCAGGAATACAAAAGGAAAAAACTTGAAAATAGGAAACATTTCTGGAAGGGGTCGATTGACTGACATCAAATTAATGTATTGCAGAAATATTATTTGTCAATAAGAAGAAATGCTGGCCAGAGGCGGGATTTCGGATATTTTATTGGGGGAGGGGGCAAAGGGTTCCCCCGCACAAGGTGGTAAAAAGTTCCTCTAAATTAAATGGCATGTGAGTAGTTACACTATAATTCTAACATAATCCTAATATTTTTGAAAGATTTCTTAATCCCCACCCCACTACCCACACTCATCTAAAACCATAAACGTGTTGTTTTTTTTTAATTTTAATTTTTTCGTCAACTTAGCACTATTAACTGATTGAAAAATATGAATAACAACAAAATAATTTATACTATCAGAAAAACATTTTTTATACTTTCACAGCGCCGAATTTAAACACAGTTTCTTTGAAAAAGTAGCAAATGATATTTTTTTACTGTCTTAGAACTCTGGAACAGGCTTGAAAAATCTCAAAAGTTCTTCTTAAAACACAAAACGCATTTTTTAAGATTTTTTCGATTACTGAGATGTAGTTAAAATATTTTTTTTAAATGTTTACCATTTCATTCGTATATTACAGAGGCGTCGTCTATATCAGACGCCGCAACTAGTGCAATCATTTGAATGGGTGAAATCCAGAACGGTATAAGTGACCTTTAATAATTTCTGAGAAATCTGTTTAAGTCAATATCACTGTAAAGTCGTGGTGCTTTGTTTCATCACGGCATTTCATTGTACATTAAAATTACGAAAATACATTGCCACTGATATAACCTAAAATAAACCTGTTTTTTTTTCTCAGAATTTATATAACGTCACTTATACCGTTCTGGTTTTCATCCATACATTTAGCAATCATAATGGGACGACGACTATCATAGCAAAGGTCGCATGACGAGGTACTACTGTGAACACTTCTCAAATGCCATGTGTGGACAGCACCAAGCAAGTGCGTGCTGCGTGAGCCAAGTTATTTAGGAGTAACTATAAAACATTTAAAATGTATTTTGTAACTTCATATCATACATGTTCAAAACATTAAATTTTGTGTTTCATTGTAAAATGATTTTTTCTTTATTTTTATTGAAAGTGGTCTGTCAGACTACGCCTTTGTAATAATTGGCACAGGTTACCTTTGTAATCTAGGGTTATATCACAGTTCTGTGTATTTATTCATTACACATTTGTAATGAAAATGTTTGTCCAAACAAACAATGAAACTTTTTTGATAATATCATCATGATTAAAACATATTCGCTTGTATAATAACAGAAAATTTAAATTACTCTAATTACATTGAATATAACAGAAAATATACTGTGGATATAACAGGTTCGCTTTTTTCTGGGCATCAAACAAATATTATGCACTACTTACAATACATCTCACATTATAAAGGAAAAACACACTTACAAAATATAATTAAGAGTTTCACTCAGAGTTTTATATCATTTGTGTCACTTTCTCACTTTTTCGAAAATTGTAAACGCGATGTTTTTGGTTTCTTCCCACTGAATGCTTACGCGAACTACCGAATCACATAAATGTTAGTAATTCTGTGACATTTCTGGATCTGTACGTTTCACAGCATTGGAAAATTTCTTCTTTAAAAAAATCGTTTTACACGGACAATGGCCTTAAGTTTTCCGTTCGCCAACTACGCTTCCATAGATTACAAGTTATGCTGGAAAAAACATGGTTTTATTGCATCGCGGACCCACGAAACGTTTCATGAGACGCACCTATTTTTCGGCATTCGTAATATTAAAAACCTTAGGAAATTTGTAATGGAAAGAATTTATACAAACATTATATACGTAGTTCCTTGCAACCCTAAACAATATGGTGCATTACAATAAAATATGCTTTCAGACTATTACATTCAATTTAGTGTATGACGGGTATGGCTGGTGTGAATACTTGTATATTGTTAGAATTTATTACAGTATGCTTTTTTACTATGGACAAAAATACACGTAAAAAGTATCTGTAAGCTGTTCTTCAGCGTCTAATAAGATTATTCTCAATTAGATCCAAAATTCTGTCGCAAAATCTTCTACAACTACATTTTATTCTTCCCCGGATTTGCTTAACACTTCTACATTTTTTGTCCCGTAAATTTTGAAGGGATTAAAACTCTATTAAGTTAGTGTAATTGTTGTCACTTCTACTTCTGCAATTGCTCTATTTATCGTTTTGTAAGCGAATCTACGCAAGCATTAAAAGGAAACTGTTTTGAATGTTTTTGAGAATTGAGTGTTGGTTACGTTTTAATACAAACCCATATTTATTTGAAAATCGATATTGGCACGCTTAAGAATGTAAATGTGAGAAGTCTAATGTAAGAACGTAAATATACTTCTGTAGCATTACTCAGTTTGGTTGGTTGATTGATTGTTAGTAATTCTGAGCGCGTCAGCTATGGTAATTGGTCCCGTAAGTGTAGTGGATGTTTTAGCTCGGGAGGTGGCTGTGATATTCCGCCGTACGGCTAGATTAGGCGCCAACCTACCGTCGGCTAGTTCGTCCAGCCCCAGACTGGACTGGACAAGCTCTAAGCTCCCGACTGGCCTCTCGGCATGTGTGGTAGTGTAATGCATATAAGTGGAACTGGATGTAAGGGTGAGAATAGGACAAGGAATGGGAAGGAAAGATTGCGCGCGGTCTGTTTGTTAGGGAACTGCTCCAGCATTCGCCTCGTGTTGATCGGAGAAACCACGGATAACTACCGATCAGAATAGCCGGCCTCCAGAATTCCCCTCCAGACAGTGACTAAATTAGACATAGGTGGCAAGCTAGTGTCGAAATCCTGTCACCGTTGTGTCTAGAACCTAAGACCTCCCGATCAGAGCGACCGCAGTGACAACAATTGAGCCATCTCTCCCCGGTCTCAGTTTGGTTTTCTCCCTATTTCCCTTTAGTTCAAGTTCAATAAGTTCCGAGGCAATACTGTTCGCAGGTTTTTACAACCGTATTTTTAAAAAAATTGTTAATACGGATGCAAATTAAATGAAATCTGCCACACGACGATTCAGGTTTGCATTCAACATAACCTACTTAGATCTATTTGGGTTGTGTTGGATTAATTCCCAGCATACTAAGAAGGCCGCACTTAAAAATAAATCACGTTTTTGAAAATAAAATTAGAATCTTCTAATTCTATTCTTCTTAGAATCTTCTGGACGAATCTGAAACAAATTATCAGTTCCCACCACGAGACCGAAACGCCTCCAATGCCACCTCATACGTTTCGTGCACGGAAAGAGTTCTACCCGTGAGTGACGGATCCCTACACTCCGCTACACGAGTACTGTATAGAGATTAATTGTTTTTCTCAAAATATAGAAAAAAAAGTAAATGTATTGTATAAATTTGAAGATCTGCAAAATGAAATGTCCAAATTTATATATTTTTTAATTTGTCTCAACATTGGGGGAGCGGAGGGGCAGTGCCATACATATTATTCACAAAATGCGTAGTTTCAAAATATCCAAATTTCAAATCATTAGCTTTAAGCAATCAAAAGTTATAATAGTTCGAAATGGAGCAATAATTGTACCTAAACAAGGTTCAAAACGTTCCACCTGTCATTTTTAACACAAGTTATATTATAAATTTAAAACAATGAAAATAAATTCACCAAAAGCATGTAAATTTTAACTCGGGTCACATTAGCATTCTTGATATTCACCCATCCTCGCAAGACTATTTTAGTAGTATACAAATCAAATAGTGTACAACAAAACATGTTATTTGAATGTTGTTCAGCACCTTCTCCTAAATTTTGGACAACCACAATAAACACTTCTAAAACTTTTACATAATAATTTTTTATTTATTTATGTATTCTGTTTGTAACAAAACTATGATACTAAGTGAACAACAAGTTGCTGTGCAGACAGTATGTATCTTAATAGATACGGGCAGGAATCTCTACCATGGCCAACCAGTAGTTCTAAAATTTGACATGTCTCTGCCATAGCCTTTTCTTTCAGAGACCTATTGTGTTTGAGTCACAGTGTCTGAAGAGTACAATTTCTAGCCTATTGTCTATCTTCACTTATGGCACCGAGAGACCAGAAGTGTATCTGCATACTCAAGCACCCATGGAGAGCATAGAATTTGCGCCAGTTAGGATACTTCAAATGAGGGTTATTTGTTTTTGTGAGTATATATTAGTGAAAAAAAGATTCTGATTATTTTCAAAAAATTTCATAAACAATTTAACTCAAAAAAATTACTTTTTTATTTACTTTTTTGAATTATGGGACGAGAGCATAACAATTCATGTTTATTGATATTTATTAACATTTGTTGTAAAAATGCAATGACAAAACTCTTACTATTTTAAAAAAATATTAACCACAAACAACTCACAAAAATAATAAAATTACTACAAAAACTAAAGTGACAACTATTCTTATACTTTATTACTTATTCATATACTTTAACAGTGACACTCATAAATGTGATAACATTACCAATTTTTTGTGTAACTGAGTAGAGCTCTTTCCTTGATTTTACTGGTCCAAGTTCCTCAATGACAGAATATAAGTCAATTTTCTCAGTATGTTCTCTATCAACACTCAACAGAGCCAAATCCTCACTATCATTTTTGTCTCACTGAAGCTTTCAAACAGCATAGAATCAATTTTAACTTGCTGAAGTATCTCACAGCTTGCAATAGAATTAGCAACAGTTAACATACTAATTTGAATATTGATATATACATTTGATAAGTTTTGTGTTCATGTTATAACACAGACCCTCAATTTCGAGCAAGACACCAAATTTTTCATCAGTATCTTGTAAGTGGGTGAACCTCAGTTACAATAATACTGTTCAAAAAATTACTTTACATCAGCTATTGGAACTGAACTTCATAATTCCGTTTAGTAGAATATTTTCTACATTAAATTTTAAGTCAATCATATTTTTGAAGTATATTTACAAATATTTTAATTATGAAGTTTTAACTTAAGAGGAATAAATAATACTACCTTTAATAAATGAGAAAAAATAGATCACAATTGTCACAAGAGATCAACTGAATCCTAAAAACAACTGAAATGTTATTAATTTAATTATGGGGCAAATCATATTTGAGTTTTTGATTTTCATATTATAAAATATAAATGCTTTGAAAAATGAAATTAATAGATTACTTCCCCTCAAAATAATAATATACATACTTGAATTTGAACTGAATTTTATAACAACTGTATAACCTTATAAACAAAAATTAAATTACAACTTGCCTAACAGACACTCCTTTTTTTCATGTTCGCTAAATCAGCTTTGGGCTGCCATTTAAACTTTAGCTTTTTATCTACTATTCTTGGTAATATGTTCAGTATTTGTCATGCTATCTGATAGCATTAGTGTTAAGTCTAAATCAATTGAGTTATTTTGTAGCACCACGAAATAAAATCCATTGTTGTATAAAAGAAAATTACATTGCATTGTATTGACTCAGAGCCTTAGAAGAAGCATTGTATTGACTAAAATATTTTGCTTGCTTTGAATGTTATAATGTTACTATTTTATATTCACAGTTACATACAAATTTGAAGATCTCTAGAGGACACCGAAGAAAAGGAATCAGTACTTCTGTTACTCATACTGACAAAATAATTTTGGATTAATAGAATTAAGATAATAAATATTTTTCTGAAGTACCAGAATTATTAATTAACCTTCAAAACAGTGAAGAGGAAGATAAAATACAACAAATGAGTAGTCCCCAATAGGAAACCAGCTTTATTACATTCACTTTCTACACCTACATCTGGTAATTAGAATTTGTAGTTTAATTTAATCAATTTTCATACCTGTGGTCACATTTCATTTGTTTGAATTAAATCTTTCACATGATTTTGTGTGTTTCAGGCACTTCGACATTTAATCCTTTTCTGCTGTGGTCATATGGCCAAGAAACCGCGAAACACGCACCTTCTCTCACATCTCCACTCGGTGAGAGAGTATGACACAAGTCGTTAAGTGTCTTCCTGATTATGCTCTTTATTATCATCTCCAACAGCTCTTTCTGGTTCAAATTACTTACTTGAGTGCATCTTAGGAAATTTAAACAATGTTTCTTATATATATATATACATATTGTAGATGCAATAGTAATAAGAATTATTGTCTGAAAAAAAGAGGTAAATTGGTTTTCTTATTCATTTCTTGATATCTAAGGCATGAAAGAATTTATCTTTTATTTTTTATTAAGACTTTGAAGATTTTATTAAGCAGTTTTATCTGCAATAAATTTAATTATTTTAGCCATAATGTTACATTAATAATTATTTTCATAGTTGGAAGACATGTTGGGGTGTATTACTATAAAGCCAAGTTTGATACAGTTTACTTTTACAGTTAAGTTACAGTTGAATGTTATTCACAACTATTTTAGTTTTCAATCAATACCCTCCTATACATAAATCTTCAATTGCTTAGCAACCGTAACTTTTAAATTAAAATTTTGAGTTTTTGATGAATTTTAAATATTGTGCAGTATGTATTTCTTATGTTAATACTTAACATTACATTTTAGATACTGATATTAAATTGTTCTTACATTTGTAGACTTTTATGGTCATTTTAAAAAATTCTTGTAACCATTGATAGTACTTGAGAGAAAACTCAAGTTGTACAAAATTTGTGAGAATAAATTTAAAAATGAAAAAGCATCAAACTTCTTTTCACTGTAATATGAATTACCCCAATAGATTCTTCAACTATTCATTCAGAAAATATATATATATATCACTTACGAAGAATAATGTATATTATTCCCTGAGTTTCAAACCTAACAAAATGAAGAAAGAGCACTCAACAAGTAACTATCGATCCGCAGTGCAATTCATTTCGAATATCTGTCCCACTGATTATCATGTATTGTACCGCGTTTAGAATATATTCCCTACATTGCCATGACTGCAAAGCCTATTGGTCAATCAGGCAGAAATTTTAAGACTAGAATTAAAAAACATATACACACTTGAAAACATAACTCTTGTAAACATCATAAATCAGACAAGGGTACATCAGAAAGTGAATGGACAAGCACAGTTCTGAGCCTCTCTTGAAATGACACTCCCACACTTAAAAGTCAATGTTTAATTGTTAAAACAACATTTGTATTCTGTGTTATTCCAAATTTTTAATACCGTCATACTAAAAATGCCTTTCCATTTTTGCGTTAGTCAGGTTTCTGGCCTATCCAGTGAACTTTGTATTGGAAAATAGTCAGTTCATTTTTTTTTTTTTCTGGTGGAGGCACGTTTTGAAGTCATTACTCAATACAACATATATGTACATTAATCAATTAGCACTTTTTTACCAATTCTTTGTGTCTCTTCTTCTAAATAACCATCTTCATAATTCTATGCAATTAAGCAGCTCCTTTATTGTTCTTCTCTGCCTCCTCTATAAGCAATGAAACATCAACATCCATTGCATCCCACACTGAATCGTTTTCCTCAACATTATGAGAACCGTTATTAACACTCGATTCATCTGAAACAACTAGAAACAAGAAAAATATTGGCAATTGTAATTATTTTTTACAGGTTAATATTTAAAATACTAAATGAACCTTAACAAAATATAGCTAATAATTATTGCAATAGAAGAATAATACATTTCACTGGTGCCTAGAGTAACATCTGAATTGTCAGAATCTCAGGTACATTGTCATAGACTTTCCATTGATTGCTTCTTCTTAGGAAGAATGAAATTTTCTCAACAAAAATAATAATTTAATGACAAGACTTCAGTCTTATACACCTTTGGACATTTTTAAATACATTTTTCAAATACAGAAGTTAACACTGCTAATATCTTTAGCAACTTATGCACACATTTGTATAAAACCCACAACCTGGGTAACCTAGAAAGCTCTCAATCTAGTCTTCATTACCTCATCCACATGTATACCCAGGGTCTTCTAACATGATATCCCATTGCTATGTGGAAACAAATAACAATGATAACCCACTACATTACACTGGGCAATCTTTGTGCACATACATCCCTACACTCCGAAATATGAGACATCACTTGCAGTATAGACAATCCCAAGGAGCCAACCGGTACGTATCAATGTGAACCAATGAAGGCTTTGATTTATTTCATGATTCCAAGCACATCAACTACCGAGAGCATTGGTCCCGTAAGTGTACTACATGCAACCCCCCCTCCCGCGAGGTGGTAGATAACTTCCCTTGCTGGATGGTGAGATCCGGAGCGGACTTAGCGTCGGCTAGTGGAATTTTCCTCAACCAGGCCCCTCTCACCAGTGACGCACCACTCCAGCTGGGTCAAGCTCTCAGTTCCTGACACGTCTTCTGCCATATGTGGTAGTGTTGTGCACGTTAGTGTAAGTGTACATAGGACAAGGTAGAAGAAGGAAAGATCATGTGTGGTCCATGGCCTGTTTGTTACGATCTTCCTCCGTCATTCTCCTAGCGTTGATTGGAGAGGAACCACACAAAACTACTAATCAGAACAGCCAGCTGCAAGAATTCTACTCTTCTACTCCATATAGCAGCTGAATGTGACCTAGCAGACAATCTAATAATGGAAATCATGCCACCGTCGAGACTCGAACTTAGGATCTCCCACTCAAGAGCCACTGCAGTGCCAACAAAGGTCAACACGTCCCAACATTTCTATTATAATTTGAACATTTAGTCTTAATTTATTCATTCATTTTATTAATCATTCCTCATCTTTTTAACTCTAGCAAGTTTCAAAATAAAGTCATCTGTGGGTCACAGTAAGTATTATATCATGTTTCGAGATGTTGTGAATTTAGGAAAGCTGAGCAAGAGCCTTTATGAAGAGTCAAGTGGCAAAAATACAATCTGTATCTAAATAAATCAATATAATAAATTGTAAGAAACAATGGTACACACACAGACATGTCTGAAATTTGTTTTATAAGGGCTCACTTTCTGCCTTTGAACCAAGGCCCATATTTTTTCTTGGTGATCCTGACTAGATAGGCAACTCGGCTACATGGTGAATGGCGAGCCTGCTTTCTGAGCTTTTCCTCAATCTGAACATCAACAGTGTAAGTTAATCACAGCTAACACGACACATTGAAAGGAACGGTAACATTTTTAATGAGTAGTAGGTGGATTTTAATAACCTAAACATTGCCAAAAATGATGATTGAAATGCTCTTAAAATATTTTTAAAATGCCCTACAAGCAAAGAAAAATGACATAAAAAATGTGACCAAACTCAGTTTGGAAGAACAACTCAAGCTGTTGGATACGTTACTGATGTAATCGAGGCTGCTTCTCAATTGTTCAAGTGAACACAGCTATCAAACTTTTGGTTTGGACTGTTCTTTACCATGAAATCTCTGTCATTAGTTATCCCAAAATTAGCTAAACCAACAAAGGCACTGATAGGCATCACAGAAACCTTAGATTTCACATTCACAATTGCCGACATAATATCCGAGTGATGAAATCGAATACACTACTCACGAGTTCTGTAAACATTTGTTGCATGTCATAAATATTATTTGAAGCAAGCACCATTACAATGAATTAAAAAAGAAAAAATCAGTGAAAAATGCATTAAAAATGACGAAGAAAGATAAAAAATTACTTATTAGTCAAAATCAACAGAAATGCAAAAATTCATAAAAAATGGGTGAATTCCTTTTGTCATAACATAAAACTAATTTCTATATTAAAAAGCATTGAGTTTAGGGAGGGAGAGGAGCTAAAGTGAAAAGAAAACAAATGACATTTCATTAAAATCTGTCCTCTAGTAATGTCAACTCTAATTTCTTAATCTTTAGGGAGCTGTTTGGCAGCATTTACATTGTTAAGAAACAAGGTTCATTTCCATCAGCACTCAAGAATCAGTTTAGAAGATATAAAATTTTGCAAACATTTTGTCATGACATCTCAAAAGAGAAGAGGAAAACTGGTCTACAGAACCTCACTATTGGCTTACAGAAGAGATTCCATATTATATTGACTCCCTTTCCAACTAAAATTAGAGATTCTCATTAGATTAATTAATTATTCTCCTCAATGATTGCAAATATGAATTTTTTAACTTCATTTTAACTTCCAAATCTTATCCACCCTCCCTACACAACGGAAAACATATTTATTTTAATTTTTTTCCAATGACTTTCCCCAGATAGATTCGTTAGCACTCTGTGATGAGGTTTGTAAGGCACATCCATAATCATTAAAAATTATATTAAATTAGAAGAGGACTCCATAATATACTTTTTTAACATAATGCTATTGCATATTAATTCCATAAAGTCTCAACCCTCGCGATTCCCAAATTCCAGACTATTTACCAATATTCCTTCACGATTTCAAAAACATTAAAAATTAAGTTAAAAAAACTATGAACAAGGTAGATAACAATAACTTTATAAGTGCTAATGACATTACTTTGACCAAATGTAAATAAATTAATAACGTTAAAACCATCATCCACTTAAAGCAGACCATCATATACACGCTTCCCCTCCCCCATATTTTATTAGTCGATCTGGAGGCTAACAGCGAAGTCGCTCCCCTTTCACCAAGGAGGCCCAGATTCAATTCCTATTGAATCCCAGACAATCTCATGTATTTGCAAATTTCTTTCAACAACACCGGTTTGGCTGCTTCACAAGGGCTAGTCCAAACCCTGTGAAGTGCCCTAAATCCTAATTCCTTCCAATTCTGGCAGCTGAGAAGTGACACGTAGTAGGAGGCACGTACGTGGAGATGCTACTCAGCGGCCCTCTTGCCAACTGACTGCGACAAGATGTGACAGATATGATATATTGAAATATTAATGGAGGATTACTCCGAAAAGTGCAGTGCTCAACACCCCCAAGTGACACGTTGCGTCAATTAAAAACGCAACAAATTTAGAGAGAAAAAAAAAACCCTCTCACTTGTCCCTTCTCCTTTCTCATTTTCTTCCAAATGTTCCTAGTAAGTCACATCTCTTCTATATCACTTGCTGCAATTACTCACATACCTTCTACATCGTCAAAATGATTTGAAGTTAAAACAAAATGAGATTTCCTACTCCATTGACTTTAATCAAACATAAAAGTTAGCATGTAATTCAGAGAAGAAATCCCCATCTGCCGCGACAGCGTTCTCGCCAGCGCCGCGCCTCTTTGTAAAGTGTTAGTATTGTATACGCGCCCTGTAAGACATAATGGTTCTCATGCGCTTCACAACCATATAATTGTATAAATAATTAAATAATATACTGCAAAGTAGGGACATACGAAGCCCCCTCTATTTCACAGCCCGACACCTGACGCATAGAACACGAAACATGTGCCACCCATACGTATCTTACATTCAAGACTTGGTTTAAGTAACATAATAATTTTACCGAGCTTGCACCATAGCGCTTTGCCCACTTCCTAATTTCAATCATTCTCATGCCACACTATATTAGGCACAAGAATGAAGAGGACATCACAAAGGCAAGCTTTGAACCCCATTTACAACTTAGCCAACTGCCAAAACAAACGAATGGAGAAGGAGAGTCCAAGAGGCTGAAAAGACACAATGTCCACAGAACCTTAGTTTATGTTCCAGCACCACAAGCTCTTTTCTTATAAAAATCCACTCTGCAGCAGATTTGACATGATCACAGGTCATTCAGAGCACCGCCCTAGCCAGTGTTACAAGTGACTACCTTACGGCTTGCTGTGTCCACCAGTGTTGGAGTAACAATCCTTCCTTCCCGGGTTTCTAGCAACACCGTTGGGAATTTTTCAGTCCGAAGTCTTGCGGAATGTTTTCCTAAATGGATATTTTTAAATTTAGTTTTAATTTTCAAAAAAAAAAGTTTAAAAAAAATGAGTTAACTTTTCGAAATATTTTACATTAAATGAGAAAAAGAAAAAATATTATGACTAATGTTTTGTGCACAGAACATCTTTAATACCAAATTTTTCACTTTATTGAAATTATGCATAATGAAGCAATGAGACTTTCACTATTCTTAATGTCTATGGATTTTGAGTTCATAGCTGGGAAAATTTCCGGGAAAACCAGAACGTATACTGTATTTTCCAACTCTGCCCTTGGCAGTATCAATGTGACAGTTTCATCCAATCGGCGAGCTTGAACATTCTCATAGTGGACATCACCCAATAGCTAGTGGGTTAACTTCAACAGCTATAACCTGCCAAGGCCAGAGTTGAAAATTGCAGTATAGCCGGGAATTTTTCTGTATAAGGAATTTTGGTAGCGCTTTGTATTCCCACGCTTAGTGCCATAGTATTACAGGCCTGGCCACTGCCACTGTGCTCCATGTGAAAGCATCCTGACACACAAGTCTCGCCTTTCTACGTCTACCATTGGGTACATTTACATGCCTTGCCACTTACCTTAAAATCTCAGAATTCACTGACATGTAATGTTGTTGTTTTTTTTCGTGTTTTCCACACTTGTATTTAATTGTTCCTGTTGACAGAGTGGTTGCCAGGCTCTTTACTTGAAAAGAATGTCACTGTATCTTGAGAT